TAGTTTGCCTCCTCTAAATGTTATGAAACTTATACACAATGCTTATTACCACAAAATACAGATCAAGTATGAATTTTGGTGGTGTCTCTTTAACCGTACTAGAGTTATGCCCCTTCACAAATGGGAAAATTGCTGAATTTTTCGTTTCCGTTCTTTTACTTAAGTTTGCCTCAACCAAATGTTATGAAACTTATACACAATGCTTATTACCACAAAATACAGATCAAGTTTGAATTTTGGTGGTGTCACTTTAACCGTTCTAGAGTTATGCCCCTTTGCAAATGGGAAAATTGCGGAATTTTTCATTTCCGTTCTCTTACTTAAGTTAGCCTCAACCAAATGTTATGAAACTTATAAACAATGCTTATTACTTCAAAATACAGATCAATTTTGAATTTTGGTGGCTTCACTTCTACTGTTTTTAGAGTTATGCCCCTTTACAAATGTAAAAATTGCTGAATTTTTGTTTCCGTTCTCCAACTTAAGTTTGCCTCAACCAAATGTTATGAAACTTATACACAATACTTATTACCACAAAACTCAGATCAAGTACACATTTGGGTAGAGTCACTTTTACCATTCTTCAGTTATGTCCCTTTATAACTTTATATGATATGCAAGCACAGGCATTATCTGTGTCCCATGGACACATTCCCCATTTATTTCAAGATTCTTTGGTGTTAATCAAATAAGTGATTTTTACAATAATCTTATCTTGTTTTGCTCCTTTTAACTTACTTGATTAGTCTAGAATATGATTGATTTAACCAGATAAAAATTTGTACATGTTATGAAAGAAACATTAACCTTATAGGAATTTAATTGATAAAAAAATCCTCTAAAATAATAGTAAGTCGAATATAAATTAGGATTGAATCATTGAGCAAGTGTAATGGCCTTATCATGGCAGAATATGTATGTACCATTCAAGAAAATATATGTGTTTTTTCAGAGATTCACATCTTAAACCGATATAAAATAAGGAGATATGGTATGATTTCCAATTAGACAACTTTCCACTAGAGATCAATTGACTTACATTTTATTTTCATTGACCATATAATTTACTTCATTACTTTCAGTTATTCAAGAATGTATTCAATCCAGATATTGGCCAATCATTAGCCTTTATTGGTTTTGTACAGCCTGCATCAGGAGGAATTCTCACCATGTCAGAAACACAAGCTAGATGGTATGCTGAACTCATCAAAGGTCGTGTTCGCTTACCTAATAAATCGGCTATGGAAGAAAATATGAGAGCAGAAGAGGTACTGGAGAAAATATTTTCGCTATCGTTTCTCATTCTTTATTATGAATTCATACTTAGCAATATTTCAAAATGAATGCTAATTACTCTACAGGTAGGATTATATAGCTCATAACAAAATTATTAACATTTTATTAGGCATTATCAAATTACCTAAGTCAAAACAATTTTATTTCTAAGTCTTACTTAACAAAACTTCTCAAATGCCAATGTCCGGAAAGTATTCATATTGGCCCTAGATTTATAGAAATTGAGATTAAGTAATTATCATAAATATTTCATAAAAAATGTACAAAAAATATCAGGCAAATACAAAACCAACAAGCTTCATTAAAATCCACCAGTAATGATGTAAGCATTTCATAATTACATAACTTTATGATAAAAATAAAAGTTCAGCTTAAATTTTGAAAGTTTTTGCATCAGAAAAACATTGTCCACCTACATAGACCGATATGATTTTTTGGAAGAATGTGTATCACTCCATAATAAATATTTTTCACTAATTTATATAAGGGCATGGCTATTGTACCCAGGAGAATATAAACCTTTAAAATGCATTTAAACAGCAACTATGACTCAGAACCTAAATACCATGATGCTTTTTAAGCAATCAACACTAAAACAAACATTTAACAGGAAAAAGTTATAACCCTCTCTGCTGCTTTCTAAAGTGGGTGTATATCGTGATTAAAGAGTCATGCTCTGCTGTCTGTCATTTCCGTCATTTGTTTGTCCTTCTGCATACTTTTGTATTCCCAACTGTTCCTGAACTGCTGGACAGAATTTTGTGAAATTTTCACTGAATCTTACTCACATAATATATTTGCAAGGGTTACTTTGTGAGCTTTGCTCGAAGTACCTGTGTTTGATATTGCATTTTAAGTGGGCTACCTATTGTTCAAAATTAATGGTCAAAGTAAGACTCATACATTTTAAAAAGGAAATATTACTACTCTCATAGTTGTACCAAACAAACATTTTATCTATTGAAACTTTTGCCTGCAAATTTAGTTTGTTGATCGAATAGATGCTGATGTTTCTTTATGCAAATTTCAGTGATTTTTTTTTGGTTAGAGTAAACAACTTTCTATCCTTTTTAATTGAAAAACAGATATTTCCAATGAAAATATATGTCAATTATGGACAATAAAGAATTTAGGAAAACTTCAGTAGGAACATGTTACACTTTAAAGGTATTTTTGAACAAGATGTAAAAAAATAAATCCTTAACAAAATAAAATGGTAATTATGGCTCATTATGTTATCATGAGTAAATGAAATGAAGAATCATTAGATATTAAAGCATTTCTTTAAATATTTTGTAGATTGCAACAAAGAACAGATACTACCACTCAGCCAGACATACGATTCAGAAAGATCCTATCACTTATAATGATGAAATCTCATCTTATTTTGGTGCAAAACCAGAACTGCTCAAACATCCTACATTAGCTTGGAGGTAAGGTCAAATATTTACCTTGGCAACAAGGTAAAACTAGAATATATAAAATAACTTGAATTTCACCATAACAATACAGTATTTTCATGTATATATATTTGATTGAATTATCTTGTCAGAATCAACTGAATTCACCTGTAAAAAAAATACATTTCTTTTAAAATTTATTTATAATTAAAGTGAGTAAAGGTTAACTCATTATTCATTAGTGATACATGTAGATTTCTTCTGTAAATTTTTGAATTCCTGTCTTGTTCCTCTTTAAAAAGAACACCATATTTTATACCATTTTGTCTTTTATTGTCCTTCTGTTGAAATAAATCAACTGTATATCAATTTATTTATTCATATCTTAATTGGTCAATTTTATGATCATTTTTATCTACTTTAAATTCTCATTAAAAATTCATATGCCCTTATGATTTAATGAAGAAGAAAAAAAGTGAAAAAAATATTTGTTCTTTTTTTACTACACGTATTATTTTCACTTCACTTAAAATACACATTCTGATATGTTTATTGCACACTACCTTGTTTCTTTGTGTTGATTTTTACTGATTGTAACAAAGTTTTAGCAAAGGTTAATAGTTATTGATAAATTTTCAAAAGTTTTTAATAAACTCATAGCCAGGTTTCATTGTTACTAATTGATGCTTATTAATTTCATTTTTGCTTTCAGGTTAATGTTTGGTTCTTGTGGAGCCTTTCAGTATCGATTACAAGGACCAAATGCATGGTCTGGTGCTAAGGAAGCTGTGAGGAAAGTTCCTGTTACAGAAATGATGCATTATACTGGCTTTTGTCTGCTTGTTTTAGCTGGACTAGTTATATACTATTTTTATTCATTTATTTGTTGTGTTTTATTTTGAAAAGAATAACATTTTTATATATAAGAAATGAACTTTTTATTAACTTTGTACCTAAATTAAAAATTAAGGAAGCTTTGCTTTGAGAATTATGTACATTAAAACAAAGACTATTAAAGAAAAGGGTTTGTAAGAAGCAGATAGAAAATTTCTCATTAAGAGGAGATTCACGTTAAATGTGTTACACATAGGAAACTAATATACATGTAGTGCTTTCAGATTCAATAAACTGTGATATTTTGTCTCATTAAATAATAATTTGTTCATCTTTAAAGGTAAATTTAGCATACTTGTTTTTACTTTAATGTTGGAAAAAGGTAAAAATAACAAAAATACTAAAGTTATTTATATTTAATGTTATTATTAAAGTACTAGAATTTGATGCACATGAACTTAAATTTTTTGTTTAATGGTTGTGAGTTCTAGAATGATTTTTAATTCCTTAAACAGGAACCATTTGATGATAAATAGATCAATAGGAGGGATTAGGGGTTGTGGGACCGCCTTTCATATTTTATCAAATCATATAAAAATAAACTGCTTCTCTGAGCGCAGCTGGATACGCCCGCAGAGGTCCAACCCTGAACAGTTGGGGCAAAAATGGACACAATATTCAAGCTTGATACAGGTCTGAATTTGGATTGTAATTAAATATTTGACATATTATAGGTTTCTGAATAAATGTAGTCAAAGAACTTGAAATTGGTTAAATGAATTGAATTTATATTCAATTAAAGATTTCTTTCTGTTGTGCAATACACTGTGCTGTTGCGCAATACTAGTAAATCTGTTGTCAGACTATAAACAAATAAAGTTCAATAACTTCTCAATGTTGAATTAGAAATTTATAAAAAAAACTAAAGGGAGGTTATCTTAATAGATATAAATCAGTCATCAAAGTTTAATGAAAACTGCTCTAAGCACTTTAAGGATATTGTCCAAAAACTTGAAAATAACCCCTTTTTATACGACCGCAAAAAAAATTTTGTGGTCGTATATTGGTATGACGTTGGCGTCATCGTCGTCCGAAGACGCATTAGTTTTCGCACTCTAACTTTAGTTTAAGTGAATGGATCTCTATGAAATTTGACCATAAGGTTCAATACCACAAAAGGAAGGTGGGGATTGATTTTGGGGGTTATGGTACCAACAGTTAAGGAATGAGGGGCCAAAAATAAGCATTTTCTAGTTTCCAGACAATAACTGTGGAATGGTGTATGGATCTCTCTGAAATTATACTACAAGTTTCCATACCACAAAGGGATGGTTAGGATTTGCTTTGGGGGGTTATTGCTCAAACCGTTTAAGAATTAGGGGCAAAAAAGGGGGAAAAACAAGGTTGTCCTCATTAATGGACAAATACTGTAGTACAAAACATAATTTAAAGCAGTGTAAGGGAGATAAATCAAATACATCATTGAAATTATCTCCCTTACACTGCTTTTAAATTATGTATAAAGTAATGGTTAATGAACAATTAAGATAATTTAAAACAGTGTAAGGGAGGTAATCCAAATACAACGTTTTGGTTACTTCCCTTACACTGCTTTTAAATTATGTTTAAAGAAATGCATATTTATAAAGGAAGACCAGTATGGCGCATTAGATTTGTAAAATCTTTGACCACATTTATTTATTTGTTATGCCCAATCTAACCGTGTATTTAGATTTTTAATTTTGGGTCCAGTTTTCAAATTGGTCTACATTAAGGTCCAAAGGGTCCAAAATTAAACTTTGTTTGATTTTAACAAAAATTGAATATATGGGGTTCTTTGATATGCTGAATCTAAACATGTATTTAGATTTTTGATTTTTGGCCCAGTTTTCAAGTTGGTCCAAATTGGGGTCCAAAATTAAACTTTGTTTGATTTCAACAAAAATTGAATATATGGGGTTCTTTGATATGCTGAATCTAACCATGTATTTAGATTTTTTATTTTGTGGACCCAACTATCAAATTGGTTCATATTGAGGTCAAAAGGGTCCAAAATTAAACTTTGTTTGATTTCATCAAAAATTGAATTATTAGGGTTCTTTGATATGCCAAATCTAACCGTGTATTTAGATTTTTAATTTTGGGTCCCGTTTTTTAAATTGGTCTACATTAAGGTCCAAAGGGTCCAAAATTAAACTTAGTTTGATTTTAACAAAAATTGAATTCTTGGGGTTCTTTGATATGCTGAATCTAAACATGTGTTTAGATTTTTAATTATGGGCCCAGTTTTCAAGTTGGTCCAAGTTGGGGTCCAAAATTAAACTTTGTTTGATTTCAACAAAAATTGAATATATGGGGTTCTTTTATATGCTGAATCTAAACATGTACTTAGATTTTAGATTTTTGGCCCAGTTTTCAAGTTGGTCCAAATTGGGGTCCAAAATTAAACTTTGTTTGATTTCAACAAAAATTGAATATATGGGGTTCTTTGATATGCTGTATCTTACCATGTATTTAGATTTTTTATTTGTGGTCCCGCTATCAAATTGGTTCATATTGAGGTCAAAAGGGTCCAAAATTAAACTTTGTTTGATTTCATCAAAAATTGAATTATTGGGGTTCTTTGATATGCCAAATCTAACCGTGTTTTTAGATTTTTAATTTTGGGTCCCGTTTTTTAAATTGGTCTACATTAAGGTCCAAAGGGTCCAAAATTAAACTTAGTTTGATTTTAACAAAAATTGAATTCTTGGGGTTCTTTGATATGCTGAATCTAAACATGTGTTTAGATTTTTGATTATGGGACCAGTTTTCAAGTTTGTCCAAGTTGGGATCCAAAATTAAACTTTGTTTGATTTCAACAAAAATTGAATATATGGGGTTCTTTGATATGCTGAATCTAACCATGTATTTTGATTTTGGACATTGGACCATAATAGGTAAATTAAAAAAATTGAAGTTCTTAGACCACTTTCTCTCTGTGTCAGAAACCTATGCTGTGTCAAATATTTAATCACAATCCAAATTTAGAGCTGTATCAAGCTTGAATGTTGTGTCCATACTTGCCCCAACTGTTCAGGGTTCGACCTCTGCGGTCGTATCAAGCTGCGCCCAGCGAAGCATTTTATTTATGAATAAAATCTTATAACTGGGAAACGTAAAATCTTAAATTTATAAAAATCAAAAGGGAGCTTACAACAATAGATATAAACAATTTACCAAAGTTTCATGAGTTATTGTCCGAAAACTGGAAAATCCCCCTTTTTGTAACGAATAAAACCCCATAAATCAGAAACGTATAGTCTAAAATTTATAAAAATCAAAAGAGAGCTCATGTCGATAGCATTAAACAATTCACCAAAGTTTCTTGCAAATTGGTGAAATTGTTTTCGAGTTATTGTCCGAAAACTGGAAAATCCCCCCTTTTTTATACGACCGCAAAAAAATTTTGTGGTCGTATATTGGTATGACGTTGGCGTCGTCGTCGTCGTCGTCGTCGTCCGGCGTCGTCGTCGTCGTCTGGCGTCGTCGTCCGAATACATATTGGTTTTCGCACTCTAACTTTAGTTTAAGTGAATGGATCTTTTTGAAATTTGACCATAAGGTTAAATACCACAAAAGGAAGGTTGGGATTGATTTTGGGGGTTATGGTACCAACAGTTAAGGAATTAGGGGCCAAAAAGGGGCCAAAAATGAGCATTTTCTAGTTTCCAGACAATAACTGTGGAACGGTGTATGGATCTCTCTGAAATTATACTACAAGTTTCCATACCACAAAGGGATGGTTAGGATTTGCTTTGGGGGGTTATGGCTCAAACCGTTTAGGAATTAGGGGCAAAAAAGGGGGAAAAACAAGGTTGTCCTGGTTAATGGTCAAATACTTTAGTACAAAACATAATTTAAAGCAGTGTAAGGGAGATAAATCAAATACATCATTGAAATTATCTCCCTTACACTGCTTTTAAATTATGTATAAAGTAATGGTTAATGAACAATAAAGATAATCTAAAACAGTGTAAGGGAGGTAATCCAAATTACCAAGTTTTGGTTACTTCCCTTACACTGCTTTTAAATTATGTTTAAAGAAATGCATATTTATAAAGGAAGACCAGTAAAAATATCTGCAAATGTTTTCATCTTTTTTTTTTACAAAAAAATCCATATGAAAGATTTGACACTATATTTTTATTAATTCTATTATAAAATAGATTAAGTTAGCACTATGGTAAATTTAAATGGGTAATTATGGTTGCCAACTCCATTGGAAATTTGAATTGAGATTATGACCATATCTTGAGGGAAAGAATTTTTTTGGGTGAAAAAGGGGGGGGGGGGGGATAAAAAGAAATTGTGGGGGGCCAATTTTTTCTCATTTCAGATTTCAGAAATTAAAAAGAATTATTCTTCAAATATTATTTTTTTTTCAAATTTCAAATATTGAAAAATTTCAAGAAGTAATCTTTAATTGCACAGTATGGCGCATTAGATTTGTAAAATCTTTGATCACATTTATTTATTTGTTATGCCGAATCTAACAGTGTATTTAGATTTTTAATTTTGGGTCCAGTTTTCAAATTGGTCTACATTAATGTCCAAAGGGTCCAAAATTAAACTTTGTTTGATTTTAGCAAAAATTGAATATATGGGGTTCTTTGATATGCTGAATCTAACCATGTATTTAGATTTTTTATTTGTGGACCCCGTTATCTAATTGGTTCATATTGAGGTCAAAAGGGTCCAAAATTAAACTTTGTTTGATTTCATCTAAAATTGAATTATTGGGGTTCTTTGATATTCCAAATCTAACCGTGTATTTAGGTTTTTAATTTTGGGTCCTGTTTTTTAAATTGGTCTACATTGAGGTCCAAAGGGTCCAAATTAAACTTAGTTTGATTTTAACAAAAATTGAATTCTTGGGGTTCTTTGATTTGCTGAATCTAAACATGTGTTAAGATTTTTGATTATGGGCCCAGTTTTCAAGTTGGTCCAAGATAGGGTCCAGTATTTAAACTTTGTTTGATTTCAACAAAAATTGAATATATGGGGTTCTTTGATATGCTGAATCTAAACATGTATTTAGATTTTTGATTATGGGCCCAGTTTTCAAGTTGGTCCAAATTGGGGTCCAAAATTAAACTTTGTTTGATTTCAACAAAAATTGAATATATGAGGTACTTTGATATGCTGAATCTAACCATGTATTTAGATTTTTTATTTGTAGGCCCCACTATCAAATTGGTTCATATTGAGGTCAAAAGGGTCCAAAATTAAACTTTGTTTGATTTCATCGAAAATTGAATTATTGGGGTTCTTTGATATGCCAAATCTAACCGTGTTTTTAGATTTTTAATTTGGGTCCCGTTTTTTAAATTGGTCTTCATTGAGGTCCAAAGGGTCCAAAATTAAACTTAGTTTGATTTTAACAAAAATTGAATTCGTGGGGTTCTTTGATATGCTGAATCTAAACATGTGTTTAGATTTTTGATTATGGGCCCAGTTTTCAAGTTGGTCCAAGTTGGGGTCCAAAATTATACTTTTTTTGATTTCAACAAAAAATGAATATATGGGGTTCTTTGATATGCTGAATCTAACCATGAATTTAGATTTTTTATTTGTGGGCCCCGCTATCAAATTGGTTCATATTGAGGTCAAAAGGGTCCAAAATTAAACTTCGTTTGATTTCATCAAAAATTGAATTATTGGTGTTCTTTGATATTCCAAATCTAACCGTGTATTTAGATTTTTAATTTTAAGTCCCGTTTTTTAAATTGGTCTACATTAAGGTCCAAAGGGTCCAAAATTAAACTTAGTTTGATTTTAGCAAAAATTGAATTCTTGGGGTTCTTTGATATGCTGAATCTAAACATGTGTTTAGATTTTTGATTATGGGCCCAGTTTTCAAGTTTGTCCAAGTTGGGGTCCAAAATTAAGCTTTGTTTGATTTTAACAAAAATTGAATATATGGGGTTCTTTGATATGCTGAATCTAACCATGTATTTTGATTTTGGACATTGGACCATAATAGGTAAATTAAAAAAATTCAAGTTCTTAGACCACATTCTTTCTGTGTCAGAAACCTATGCTGTGTCAAATATTTAATAACAATCCAAATTCAGAGCTGTATCAAGCTTGAATGTTGTGTCCATACTTGCCCCAACTGTTCAGGGTTCGACCTCTGCGGTCGTATCAAGCTGCGCCCCAGCGAAGCATTTTATTAATGAATAAAACTCCAAAATTCGGAAACGGTAAATCCAAAATTTATAAAAAACGAAAGGGAGCTCACGTCAATAGATATAAACAATTCACCAAAGTTTCATGCATATTGGTATAAGCGTTTTTGAGTTAATGTCCAACATGTTGACGACGGACGGACGGTCAACGGTATACCATAATACGTCCCGTAAACGGGCGTATAAAAATTAACCTAAATTAGGTAAGAATCTTCCGTTTTCAAGTGGAACCACATAGAAATTTCATTTTAAAAGTTTTACAGATGTTGCTGTAAATTGTGAGCACTTCAGATCAATGGTAAAGATTTTCCAATAAGCATCTAAGTAAAGGAAATTTATATAAAAGGTCACTCTTTGGTGTGTGGATATTATTAGTTACATAGTGTGCTAGTTTCCTGGGGTCAGTAAATTCCATATGGGGTGATAGCAAAGTTGGAATCCCCATATGGAATTTACTGACCCCATATACATGTATATCATATTAAGTCACTAGCACACTGTGTAACTAATTTATCTTACTGACTCGATATCTTAACATGTGGTATTTAGACTAGTGGCCTATCAATGAGATATAAGTGATTAAGTCTTCAGTACTCAGTATTAAGAACCTACTTCCATTGGTCTATACAAAAACAAATAGCAACAATAACAATAACTTTTTAGCTTTAAATGTGTTTCATGAATTTATTTCAATCGTTCATCATCAATTTCTTCGTCTGTTGAAACCTTTCTGATTTTTCCTCAACACCTTGTTGTTTTTACAAAGGGACGTAACACCACTACTAACCGTCTATTGAAGTAAGCCCCGCCTACTAACCTAATATGAAATATACACGGTCTCCACACGGTTGCTTTTAACCAATCATATTCTTAGAAATGTATAGGAGGTTAGATAATTCTTAATATACCATGATGTTATTGTCATGTTCTGTATATCCATCAAGTAGTTATTTAAGATGCTTTGGAGGGATCTATCATATGGCAACCCAACGATTATAAATTTTGATTTTTGTAGTACATTCAGTTCATGCTATGGTCATTTTCAATTTAAATTTTGATTTCCATTGAAGATAACAATATAAATTTTGTGCATTCAAAACGTTTTTCTGGATTTACCAACAGCAGGAATGCTCAAACCTAAACATTTGAAAAAAACGCATTAAAGATGAGGAGAAAGCCAGGGATGAATAATTATGTTAATGTGTATAGAAATATTTGGAGCTATTTGACCAAAAAGGACATATAAACAAAAGCCAAATTTATCTAAGGTCAATATGCCTGAGAGAGTTGGAACAAATGTCAAAAGAATTAAACAAATACAAATATTTTATTGGCACAAACACAATTACAATAATTGGCAAAGGCCCATATTTTAGTACATTATTACAATGAATACAGCATAATGAAATAATATGTTATGATTAAGAAGATAAAATCTCATTTCTATAATCCAGATATTTACATATATAAGAACTAGTCACTTTCAGGACTTTTAAAGAATTGCTATTAATGCAACATTTCATATTTACCTGATTCTCACTATAACTTGTAGGAAGTATATTTAATATAATAGTTTTAAAGTTCATTCTGTAGTTAGAATATTTTTCACAATTCAGTAAAAAGTGATTTTCATCTTCTACCTCACCCAATTTACATACATTTCAAACTCGTTCATTGGTGGGTAAACCTAAATGTCACCATTTTCTATAGCAAGATTGTGTGCACTCAATCTTATTTTACACAGAGATGACCTTTCTTATTTGTTCCTTAGAACATCAACATAAGAACTACGCTGATTTGAATTATGAAATTTTTGATAAAATTTTAGTTTGGATGAATTGTAAATTTTTGATGATTGATCCTGCGTGCACTGATCAATCACTCGTTGTTTAATACTTGGTAGATATTATTTTATAGAACATTGTCTCCCAGCAAGGTTTGAAAATCCTAGATTGTTTAAAATAGAATAAAGTTTCTTTGTCCAGGGGTTATTTTTTTCAGTTGCCAGAAAAAGTTTGGATACAAGGGTGTTTTCAGACCTTTAAAATATGTTCAAAAAATTTAATACAAGAAAATGAGATTTTTGACCACAATGGTAGCCTACCAAGTTCAGCTCTACAAGAAGCATTAATTGCTTTGCAATGAACACCTAAAATTTCTTTTATGAACTTCATATGGAATTTTTCCAAAATGGAATTGTCTCCTGAATTATCAAAAACGCCCCAAACCTCACTACAATACAGCAAGATCGGATTTACTAATGAATCAAATAATTTTTCTAAAAGTTAAAGTTGCCATTACACTTTTAACATTATTCCCAAGTTACAATATTTTGAGACGGTTTGTAAGACATTATCATTATAAATAAACTCATTTAAATGTGTTTTCCCATTAGAATTAAATACTAATATCTTTGATTTTTGTCGAGCCTTCGACTTTTGTCGAAAAAGCGAGACATAGCGATCCTACATTCCTTTGTCGGTGTCCACAAATATTCACTCTGTGGTTAAAAGTTTTTGAAATTTTAATAACTTTTTTAAACTATCCTGGATTTCTACCAAACTTGGACAGAAATTGTTTATGATTATAAGATAATATTCAAAAGTAAATTTTGTAAAAAAAAAAATCCATTTTTTCCGTATTTTACTTATAAATGGACTTAGTTTTTCTGCCAGGAAACATTACATTCACTCTGTGGTTAAAGTTTTTGAAATTTTAATTACTTTCTTAAACTATCCTGGATTTCTAAAAAACTTGGAAAGAAGCTTGTTTATGATATAAGATAGTATCTAGAAGTAAATTTTGTAAAAAAAAAATTCCATTTTTTCCATATTTTACTTATAAATGGACTTTAGTTTCTCTGCCAGTTAACATTACATTCACTCAAGTTTTTCTGCCAGGTAACATTACATTCTCTCTGTGGTTAAAGTTTTTAAAATTTTAACAACTTTCGTAAACTATCCTGGATTTGTACCAAACTTGGACAGAAGCTTGTTAATGATTAAAAGCTAGTATCTAGAAGGAAATTTTGTTAAAATTTTGTTCCATTTTTTCCGCATTTAACTTATAAATGGACTTAGTTTTTCTTCTAGTTAACATTACATACAGTCTGCAGTTTAAGTTTTTAAAACATTTATTAGATTCATAAACTATCCTGGATTTTTACCAAACTTGGACAGAAGCTTCTAACAATCAAAAGATAGGGAGGAATATTTTTATTAATTTTTTTCCTCTTTTTTGTTGAGCCTGCGATTAACAGCAAAGGTAGGCGAGACACTGGGTTCCGCGGAACCCTTACGAATTTTTGTACATTAACATGTAGTTTCCAATTCGAGCAATATGTACCAAGAATATTGAGGCTGGTTTGAAAATCAGTTTTGCTTTCTGATAGTAATACAATATCATCAGCATATAATAAACAATTAACAGAAAAATCACCAACTCTAACTGGCTCACAGTTACCATTGATTAAATCTTTTACGACATCATCAATAAAAATTTTAAAAAGTGTGGGGCTTAAAACATCCCCTTGTTTAACACCACGCTCTGAAGTAAATGCAGTTCTAAGACCATTTGAAAATTTAATTCTAGTGGTAGTATTTGCATACATAGCAGATAAAATATTAAAAAGTTTTTTTGGTAAACCTGATTTTAAAAGTTTATAAAATAAGCCAACTCTCCATATGGTATCAAAGGCTTAACGACGGTCTATGAAAGCAGCAAATACTTTCTTCTTTTTACTTTTATAGTAATCAATAATGGGTTTTAAAGAAAATATATGATCAGCAGTTCTACAATTTTGTTTAAGGATGTTCGCTCCTCTTGTTTTTGAATTTTTGCCATATTTTCGGAATCCTCTGGTTTTATCCATGAAGTGCCATTAAAATTTTTTTCCCGCTAACCCCTACTTTTCTTTCCATAATTTTATTACATAAAGTTTAAAATGTCATTTATGAAAATCTTATAAAATCCTTGTTAATTTTTCATAGTTTTTGAAAGAAAAAAAGTGTCAATGTTAAATGTATGAAAAATCTAGAGAGAATAATTTCCCGCCAAATTTTCAATGGCTTATATCTCGAAAACAAGCACACGGACCCTTAACTTTTTTAGTTCCTTTATTTATATACTATCAATTCATAAAAGTCTTTTAAAAAGTTTGTTATTTTGAAACAGAGTAGCGAACATCCTTAAATCCTATTGATATTGACTGATTAGAGATATGTTACTAATGAATTTCAATAATCTTGAATGAATGACTCTATCAAAAAGTTTTCCCAAGTTAGAAGTGATAGAAATGCCCCTATTATTGCTAGGGTCCATTTTACTACCTGATTTGTGTAAAAGGACTAAGAAACTATCATTCCATTTATGGGGGAATTGGCCAGTGTTTAAAATAAAATTGAACAGCTTTTTGAGAGGATTTAATATACTGTGTCCTCCATATTCAAGCATTTCATTAGATACCATTTTTAAGAGCTTTAATAGCCTTAATTAGTTCTTCTGTAGTAATATCAATGTCTAAAATATTATTAGATGTGTCATTATCTAAATTATCTTTTAATTGTTGGAAATGTAAAATTGTTCCATTATAGTTTTATGGAAATTACCATAGTTATCATCACTTTTGTTTAACTTTTTAAAGAATTGAACAAAATTGCCATAAGGTATGTCCTGAAGGGAGTCAGAATTGGCATGTATTTTACCTAACTTATTTAACATTGTCCAAAATGTTTTGGGGTTCTTTTCAATATTATCATTAATATCATTACAAATTTGTTGTTTATACATTTTTTGTTCATGTTTACAGAGTCTTCTGAATTTTGATCTATATGTATAATATAGTTTTCTATATTGTCCATTTTGCGAATTTTTTTTAACCAGTTTCTCATAGCTTTTAACTATCAGTACAAGAATGTGAAAACCATGGTTTCCTGGTTGATTTTCTTAGTTTTTGTATGGGCTTTTTGTTAATAAATTTAGCTGACTGTTCAGTCTAGTAAAATTGAATTAAATGACTCAGTAATCGAGTCACTGTCATTGAAGCTTTTGTTTATAAAATTTGCAAATTCATGATCTTTGAATATTTGACT